TATCTTGACGGAAATCCACACGTGCTGCGTGCCCACGTACCACTTTTACCTCCCCGAGATCGTCCTGAGCAGCCGTAGCCATTAATGTCATCAACAAAGCGACGATTCAGTGAACAAAATCACCCTTCCACTAACATCTATCGCACCCACAGTCTGTTAATGACTGTACTTTGCCCGTTACACCAGTGTTTACGGAATGGTGCTATCCGTTGCCAATTAACACACCTTATCATACTGCTCTTAAATCAACCGTTTTACAAATAGTTTCAGAGTTATTTATTCACCATTTTATCGTGTGATGGGCACAATGCCTAACAACACAAGAACGTTACAATCAGGAAAAAACACATTCTGTACTAATATTGGGCATATTTTTCCAGTGATCATGGCCAATTGGTTTGTCATAATACTCTGACGTAGCGAAAAATAATTTACATTTCTCCATCCCATCTGTTACTTAGCAACATAAATAAAGACACGATACTTCCTCGCCTTTAGGCATTTTAATTATAACTATGTGAGGGTAGCGTTATTGATATTGCAGAGGGACAGATTAAGTAATATAACATGGAAATATGTATTATATAATTATAATTCAGTGTTGATGTTGATTTTTTGTCCGCCGGGCAGCAATTCCGAAGCATTCAATCACATAACTATACTACCACTCTTTAAAGCACAATAACGCCAACTACATTGGAATGTGGAAATTACACCATTCACCATCTCAAAACAAAAATAGTTTGTTATTGTATCGCTGGTAAAATCATCAAACCATTACTCCGCTGATATCACGTCATACCATAACATTTTTGTAGATCAAGCAAATATTATAAATTACAACTAACAGAACGACTTAAACTTTGTAAAAATATATTCCAAAATATATATAAATAGATTCAAATGAGTATGAAACAAAATAATTCAAGTATATTTTGAAAACGACTTACTGTAAAATACTTTATTTCTGCTAGGAATTTATTTTCAATCAAATGCAACGCATACATCATTTTGTTACTATATTTTACATTCAACTCATTAAAAATAAGTAAAAATAAATTCCATACAAAACATTAAAACAGCTTTTTTTAGTGAAGATTATTTCCAGCTAATATGAAGTATTTACAGTAATTTAAGTTTTGAATCTTATAAGTCATACTAACAAGATGAGTTCAAACCACTGATCAATTTGCTAGTAAGTAAATATGGGGCTGGTATCATTTGTCTGATATGCTTGTTTGTGTTTTGGACTACGCTATCTTTGGTTAACAAATAAATAAAGCATTGTGCGGACATTACGCGGAGGTAGGAAGGTTCATCGCATTAATAACCTTATGAAATGTAGATGAATTAAATGGCGGTGTACTGGGCTACAGGTGACGGACAAGCTAATTGGTGACATCGGTCCAAACGAGAACACTGAAAATCGTGTTATTGGTCGCACGTTAGGAGTCAAAATTACTTACAAGATTGTGCCCGATTGGAAAGGGGCACACATATTTCAAATACCAAATGACTTGAATTATTAACACATGATCTAAACAAGTTACTTAATACAGCAGGTGCTGACATGGCCAAATACGTTAATGCATCAAGTGTACCTGTCAAGGCTCATTAATATATAGTTTACTACCATTCTCCCCCTCCTATTAGAAACATAAGTTTTCCAGTTGTCACTGCTGATACATTTACAACGATACATTCAATGTATCATTTCTATATCTTGGTTCATATTTTTTTCACGTTTTGTGTGTTTCAATATTTCGAAGTGTACATTTTGTTTCAATTCTGCTATGACTATCATGGTAGAGTTTATTTATATCAATATTTTGGTCATAGTTGTTTTTCCCAGTGATATCAACAGAGTTAATTTTGTGAAACGTCATTTTTATTCTTATTTTATAACAAAATAAAAGTTTGGGGGTTCGCTCGATAAGTTCATTAAGAATGTGCGCAATTATAATTTCATTTTTTTCCCATTGTCTATGATGTTGTCAGATAGTCCACTTACGCGGGTAATCTCAGGTGATATGGTCATGGTGGTGAAATCTTGAATTTAATTTAATTGAGCTGGCTTAATTGAATATTCATCTATCAAAACAACTAAATATTGACCAGATGGCAAGGGATCATTCATATTAGTGGCGATATGGAACCAAACTATATGTGCTAGTGTTAACCTGACAATCACAACAAGATATTGAACTGTCGACCAAAGAATCCATTGCAGAAAACCACACTTTTTCTTTCATCAATGGCTCTATTTTAGAGGCACCAGAATGACCATCGAGAACAATAGAGATTACTTGACTCTGGTATCATGATTCGTGATTCTCTCGGTAGGATTCCACCTATAAAAGCATAATCCTGAATAAGTTTGAATATTTTCAAAAATTTCTGATAAACATTCGGTCATAATTTACGTCAACAATTTATAAACATTGAATACCAAACGTCAGGTCAATTTTGTGTCGCAAACTGTATCTCTTTCACGTTACAGCACGAGGCAATGCATGTCTGCGAATAAAAGAATCATGTTCATAACGCCTCTTCCACTACAATTATTGAGAGGGATGTCGTAGTATGTCATTGCTTACATTATTTATATTCCAGGCCGGTGTATTATTTTAAAACGAAATCAGTGCAATTCTTTCTGATCGATTAAAGGTTTGTGATTTGTTTCACTAGTGAATTCGGGTGAACCATCACGATATAATCAGTGTTGTTTCATTACCAATGATAATTACCAAAGTTTCCCCTTCAATCTGACTATGGCGTGTTTCAGTATTTGAACGTACTCTGTTCACACAATTAATCACTTTGTCATAAGATCTCATGGAGGCCGACTAGACTAGCATCAACAATCAGAGTGTCTCAGAACAATTTGCCCTTTTATTGGCATAGCTTTCCACCCCAAATGAATGGAACCCCCGTTTTCACGAGTGAACTGATTGGTGCGGGCAACGTAAGAAATTTTGTACCATCATGGATGGGAGGCCTGGCATTCCCAAGAATAAACACGAACATTTTCTGGCTGTTTTAGTTTATAATTACATTTTGTGTGGTTGTCTTCACTGTGCATACTGCCTGTACAAAGCCAACAAATACTATTTTGGAATTTCGCATTTCGTTTGTTGGCATCCAGTTTACTAAATACTGTAGAGGCATTTAATTTTGCTCTGATCTATGGAACAGTGTGGTTCACTTCGCATATTATCAGTATGACGTTTTTGAACAATAACAATTGGGCTCAGCCATGATGTTGACATTCTTTTCCAACTTTCTTCCGTAAATGGCATGGTTTTGCATCACAGCTAGAAAGTTGCTTCAACATGCAATTTAAATTTCTTAGCAACTTTTTGTTCAGTAATTCCCAACCCAGTAAAAGCAATTTCATGTTTACACACAATTCTTTGCACTGAGGCGGAACTATCTGGAATATATTCAAAGCATTAGTATTATGTAATGTAGATACGCATTGGACAATTTAGGTGTTTGTGTGCGTACGTGTCCTGGGCAAGGCTTGATTTGATATAGCACTTGTCTAGGATTGATCTGGAAAAACGTATCGACTTGCGAACGAATAACCCAAATTAGGCGAATCTTCCGTGTCGACACACCACAATTAGAGGTGCTTAATTGAGTTTACCAGGCTACCATGAAATAAATAAAAAATAAAATAAAATAAATAAATATTGTAACTGGTCCACCCCTTACTTGATGCAACTATGCACATTGTTACTTTTCATTAACCAATTAAAACTGTAATTCAGTGTTATTTAGTCACACTAGGAGATTTATTATGCGGGAAAATACAATCCCTGTAAAAGCTGGTGAAATACAACACAATACTATAAAGAATTTGACCTTATGAAATTCTGTCGCTTTTATGAAGACAGTACAATGTTTTTACTAAGTAAATTTAAATTTATTACAGCTTTTATTCATACATGAACACACTACATAGTTTGTAATTTCATTCAACTTCTTTCAGTCATAATTCGAGACAAATAAATGTAAAAATATAAAGAATATAAAAAAATATTTTTTTTCTGTAATATTCTTGTGTAATTAATATTGGTAATTGTTATTATCATCTATGTGCAAATGGAATAACCTCGTTATGAATTATTCCTAATATATTTTTTATTTATCTTTTCAGAATTAGTTGCTTTCAGGCCCCATCAAAAGAACGTCGAAAACGGAAAATCATTTTTGTATTGTTACAAATTATATAGCAAATCACTGTTGCAGTTTTACTAAGAAATAAAATAGAATTACATATAATATAAAATTGTGTTGGCCTTGTCTAGACGAGAAACGTGTGTGTGAGTTTCGGTGTGTATATGACTTGGGGAAGCTTATTCAGGAATGTCATTATGTGAGGTTATACGCAGTCCCTATTTTTGGGATGAGAAACCAAATTTAGATTTTTAAAACCGTAGCCAAGTATCCCCAGCAATGTTTATTCGCCAAAATGTATCTTGTCGTGCTTCAGCTTAAAGGGCGGCAGTCGTCGCGCTGCGCATGTGCGACATTTGTATTGATAAACATTGATTTTCCCACAATCCAATGCGCTCTTCTTATGGAAATCACAAGTATGAGGTTTGACCTTGACGCGACTTGCACTAATTACCGCCGGTGACTCCTTCGATACCTTCCAATCACCTAAAAATACCTAATTAAAGCTTGGTAACGTCCCAGTTTGTACTTGTTGATCTGCGCAACACTCAAAGTCGCCATCTTTATTTATATGATATAACATACCATATACCTCGCGCATGCTTGGCGTGACGACTACCGCCCTTTAAATGTAGACGCTTTAGTTAGGAGGTTCATTTATATAACTAAAACAGATGCATTTATGCCCGAATGTATGTACATGTGCACTAGCCCTACGAAGAGTGTATTTAATGATATGTATTGGTAGAAATGTTATACATATACGAATGTCGATAACGATTCATTGTCCACTCTAATGAATACAACATATGTCTTACTCATACGCATTTACTTGTCACCCATTTCATTATGCCATGTGCTTGCATCACTGTCAGTAACTTGAATTCTGCTTCCCAATTGTGGGGAGTCTTAAAAGAATTAATATCTTCAGTCACGTTAGAGAATTTCCCGTAATAGTGGTAAGGCAATTTTCGACCCGATGCGTCGTAATTACGTGGATAAAACCCGTATATAGTGACTTCGTCACAAATGGAGAGCGCAGCAACGATTGTATTGATTCCAGCAGTTAATCTGTGACGAGGATCCAACCTGGGGACGGAACAAAGAACGCGATTTCATGTAATCTGTCATAATTTACGTATTTCAGTGAATCACATCTCGTAAGAGATATGCCACGTGCTTCATAACTAGATGTATGTCATGTGCTTGTATACTTGTATAGATGCTTCAATGCGGGGTTTTCATCGTGACTTTATGTTATTGTCTTAATAGTTACCAATTCAAAATGTTGGCTTCACTATAACTAACCCTACGACAAATAATATAACAACTAAAAGCTAATAATCGGTGGTGCATACTTATAAAGATAGAAATGGTCCTTACCTTTTTATAAGATGAAAACTTGTATTTGCTGAAAATGTTGGGGTATATGCAACTCTAAATGGTATATGAAACTTTGATTTTAGATTACTGAGAGCAAGTCTTCTGATATTGTGTGACAAGGTACCTGGGTACCATAGTATTGAGTCATTCAGAAATTGATAGCTGCGAAGTCGTTCCAGTTTGTTGGCATGTCTCATTGCTGCACGGTGTAAATACTTCATTAATTCATAATTGACAAGTGTAAGGTTAGTTTTTAAGCCAACATCTTTCACAAAATGCTCAATTTCCGGAATATTGAATCGAATGACAAAATCGTTAGAATTGATGTCGTTGCCACAGCTACTATTCAACAGAATACCGCCATTACCAACTAGACCGCAGGTTTTCTGTCGTGGTATTGTATACGTTGTTTCGCGTTCCCATTCCATCATTGCTTCGACTTGTCCGAATGTCATGTTGTCTATGGGTACATCGCGGTTGTATATTCTTATATGTCGACCATTTGGAAAGGATTTTGCTACCATTGCCCTATGAAAAAAACAAAAAAACACAAAAAAAACAAAAAAAACAAAAAAAACAAAAAAACAAATCTATCTTTATAGTAGATGTCCCATGTCATAGTATACACCGTTTTAAATCGCGCCCTCTAGTGTCGGAGCGCTTCAGTGATGACGCTTCAAAATGGCGTATAAGATGTTGCAATACCGTTCAAAACGATAACAGTGTTTGGTTGTGTAGTTGTAAAATCTTTTCATTGAGGGACGACTGGAGATCAAAACGATATCAACACTGAACTTCATTCGCCTTACTTTACGCTATAGGGAAAATGTATTTAACGCGCGATCCGACGGTTGAAAGGGGTCTACTGTTGTTTGTGTCAAGTAATGCACACTAACAAGATAAAATACTGAACACCCAACAGGAAAGAAGTTTGGTTTTGGTTGTTAAAGGCACACCAGCTTAACTTCCACATCTAATTGTTAGCAAATGCACGAGGTCAACTATTCGAAGCATGACACCCTTCCGATATGTATGAACAGTCTCAGACTGTGGTAAAAGCAATGAGGCTTTATCGATGAGAATTGTAAGAAAAGTAAGTGATATTCATTTACCTATTATAATTGAAGTATATGAGAAAACAATGTTGCCATTTAAATAAAAATGGCCGCTGAAATCTCTTTGAGGACTGAAAAACCACCAGATTTGATTTTGCCCTTCAAATAGTGTGCAGCACTTAGCCGTCATCGCGTTCTAAATGATATGGTTACATAGATTAGGGGAAGAGTGGACACGATGACGGCAAAGTATGAAACACTATTTCATGTTCAAAAAAAAAGTTTCGCGGCTCTCTCCCGCTTTCAGCGAGATTGCATGTTCGTAAAAATAAAGTTTTTGCTGATAGGGTTACGAGACAAACTTCCGGGCGGGTCTGTTTGCTTTCCTAGTAAATTGATGATAACAATTTATGTGAGTTATCTGTGATTTCCCACAAATCTTGTGTTAATATTGGACCAAATCAACCAAATCCACTAATACTGTTTATTTGTAAGGATGTGAGCCATTCTGTATTGAAGAAAACATAACAGTTTATTGTGCGTGCTGACTGAAGGAGCGCTTCAAAGTTGTCGTGCACGTTTTCCAGGAAAGTTGCATTTTATGTAATATCTGTGTCAACTGCGGGTGCTGCCCTGTGCATAAAGTCATATGAAGCGCCAGGATTTAGAAAGCAACGAAATGATACACGGGAAATACGTATTAGCACAAATACATAACACGTATATGACGCGCGTCACTCGCAGCGTATATTCAATTGACACGTCATTCTGTTCTCGGTTGTAAGTGTTATTTTGTGTCAATCTAGACTTGAAGTCACAGATTATGAATATGTATAAGCTAATCAGATATGATGAATTTGTGTTTATGTGATAAACATACTTCAGGTTCAGTAGTGGTAATGCGTTCTTTCCAGGCATTTTACCGATCCTGGTAAAGTTATGGGTGTGGTTCGCTGTTATCGGGTTCTCCTTTTCATCAATGTACGTTCGGTTGTGTTCGTTTCTGAAAGTAAATATCCAGAAGGTATTAGAAGGACAGACGAAGCTAAAAAGTGAAAATTTGAACATTTTTAAGATGACTAAGTACTAATAAAACGTTGAAATAAATGTTTCTATGACAACATGTGTTTTTTAAACATAATTTGTTTTATATACGTGGATAGAGAAATTAAGACACGATTAGCAACGATTTGGCTCTGTGTCTACAGGAAGAAAAAGTTCATTTCTCATGAGTGAGGTACTCCATGTACCTTACGAGACAGTACTATATAGTGTAGTCGTGTCTTAATTTCTCTGTCCACGTATGTAAATCTGCTCTACAAACTCATCGTTTAGTATCAAGCACTCTCACCTGGAATAATCGACTACCTTTCTAACAATGGGTCACGGCTTATTTGTAAATTTGTAATACATAGTGGGTTTCAATAGGTTACCACGATAGCTCATGTATTTGTATTCATTTTTTGTACACCTCACACAAAGTTGATACAATTAAATATAATGTAATTTCCTATTCAGTTTATAATACATATATTATGGGTTGTTATATAGTGTTGTTGTAGGCATGGCAATATTAACAGTGAAATTAATTTATATCCCAACATAGAACTTACGGAGGCTAGGCAGAAAATGGCGAACTACTGAATTAATGAAGGATATTTAATATTTTAACTAAAATCATATTTCACTTATTAGTATATCATTATTGTATTTGACCGGACTCCACAAAAAGAAGTTTGTAGACTTGCTTGCAGTTCTTGAAATATAAATATAAATTGCGTAAACGAGGGGTGAACGCGAAAGTCATGTGACCGCAAAATCCTAACAATCCAGGCGTCTCTCTGTGTATGCATCGCGCTTTTATTAAACTATATTAATAATTATCAAGATTTGTACTAGTATGAATTACATCTAAAATATCAGGACAAAACATTATTGACATCAGGGTACATACATTGCCAACCAGCATGATAAAATAGGTCGCTCACTAATCACCACTAGCTTGCGAGCTGTTGTACCAACGTTCCCATTAAGTTAGCAATAACACATCCATGAATATTTAATAACAGCAGTGCAGTAATTATCTTCGCGTGCAAACGGCTGGTTTGCCACATGGAGTTGTAATAGCATTGCATTGCCATGTCTTATAAATTCGTTAACATAATATCACATCCTTCAGAAAAGCGTAAATCGATCAACATTTTTCATTGATACAATTATTATGAACTTGTGTATTTACATGAGTAAACAACAACGTCACACTTTTCAAATAAGCATGTTTACCTAGTATCGAATCCCGATGACGAGTCCGTAGAGTTTCTATACTCTGACATCGTCGACATAAGCACGAAATGTGAATACCTGTACAGTAGGAATGTGAAAACTGACCCAAGCACGACAAGAAGATAAAATAGTCTTGATTGATGAGAATTAGGCTTCAAGTACGTAAAAAACATCATGGTTTCATAAAATTCTCTGAAATAGTAACAGAAACAAAATAAACACGCAAACAAATATGATTATCATACATAGAACGTGTGCTCAATTTAACCCTAAATTCGGCGGTCCCTCAAACTACTCCGGCCGGAACTATTCATTTGTAATCACTACGCGTGGGAATTTAAAGCGACTATAACAAAGCTCACCGAAAAGGTAAAGATATGTTCTAGCTGGAATTTCACGATGGACTGAGAGCCGAGGTAGAACAATGAACAGTACAGATTAATGCGTCATATTTAGATAAATAAATGCGACCAGACATTCCACTAATCGCGCAGATATAGGTCGTCGCACTGTGACGTCATTTTTTGCCAACCGGCATGCGAACAAATAATAATAATAATAATAATAATAATAACTTTATTTAATTAAGCGCAACAATTCCAACATATGAAGATCAAAGGCGCTGATACAATAAACAATCAGTCAAATATTAAAAGCACATTTAAATAAGTGCGTTTTCAGTCTGGATTTAAAAATGTCTACTGAAGGACTAGAACGAACAGACAGAGGTAATTCATTAAAAAGTTTAGGACCTAAATTTTCAAAAGCACGGTCTTTGTATAACACCTTGGACTTTTTACTACACACCTGACGAGTTTTAATAAGAAACTTTGATTCAGATCTTAAACTACGACTAGGTACATAAAATTCGATTAATTCACATAGATAATTTGGG